TGTGGTACACTAATTTGAAAACCGGTGACTAAACTAGATCGATTTGATCATTTAGCAGGTTAAATCCGCAATGCTTATGCTTCTGAATTTTTAAGGATTCCAAATAATTGAGTTTCCAACCCTTGCTTGCATAGTGCAAAATTTCCGTATCGTTTAGATTCGGGAACTTGTGGTTGCATTCCAAGGAATGGTTTGAAGATGTCGAATCATTTTTACCTAGCCTGGAGGACATTTCATGTTCAGCATACCATTTTGAGAAATGTCGACCACATTATCCCAAATAAACACTATTACACTCTGAACTCCAGATTTCTTCATCTTGTCCACTTTATCTTTGAAAATGCAATTAGATAACCTGGCATGTGGTTTGAAGGCCACTTCGCAAAATATGTTGGAGCTACAAATTTCTTCAGTTCTTGATTTAAAGAAGTTTTTACTTTAATGTATAAGTTTGAAAATGTCCTTATAGTATGAAACTGCAGGAACTTTAGTCACAAATAAAAGTGGTAAAAACATAGAAATTTTCATTTTTCATGATAATCTCTTGCCACTTAGTAACGGCTACAAATACAATTTAAATGACATTTCCAGTCCTGTGAAGCAGGGTATTCGTTACTTATAACGTAAAAATTTTATTAGAACTATAATTTTAACAGTGTAACACTCGATACGGGACGATTTTCACTTTCTCGTTTTCTTTTCTTTCGCATTAACGATACATGAAACATACTATGTTCTTTGACAGAATAAATAGGTAACTTGCCAGTTACTTTCGATGCTTGATCAGTTTTTCTCGCTATTACTACTGACCTTTCTACTTAAATGAGCTGGACCAATGATATATGTCCTACGCGCAAGTCTGCCTGCAGAAATGATGAAAGTATGACCGGTAGTACAATCGTATTATTGTCCGCGATCTACCCTACAATGCTGGTGATATCGAATTTTGACACCTCTACAGTGCGTTTTCCACATCTTAGGCAGTAAGTTCCTTGGTGATTATTATAAGTACCGTTTTCATTCAAATTATTGATTTTCTCTTGGTAATCTAACTTGTCCATTATCACAACTTTTTTCCCTTTGTTTACTTTCAGATAGAATCACACTGATCTACTTCATCTTCTGGAGACGCTAACTTGGTTAGGGAAACACGAGTCGAGAATAGTGTTGCAACTATGATTTTTGGGACCTATGCTTATTTTGGACCTATTCAGTCGCAGATATGTTTCTTGAAAACATGTCTCCGTTAATCTGTTTCTCCGAATTTTGTTCAAATCAATATTTCAGAAAAATATTTCGTTGCCTTGTTTTTTCCAAAGGAAAATACATGAATTCGGAAATGAAATGTCTATAAAGTAAACGGAGTATGTTGCAATTAAAGTCATATGTAGTTCACAAAAAACTGAAATATAAGCACGACGAGACAGAAAAATGATTTTCGTTGTCATAATATTGAAATTCATTGAGAAAATGGCTTATTCAAAGGAGATATAAGTGAAACTTGGAATTATAAAAATGGACAAATAGCCGAAGAATGTTATCAAAATTGTTGACAATCTTTCGAAACAATTGCATGAAAACTATGAAAAATGACGAAGGTTCAATTCCAAATAGCTTATTGTTTACCTTCATATGATTCACTCTGTTGAATCAATGAGAAATATCACATAAATTTTCATCCGAAATAATTGACGTCTATCTGGAACTAGAAATGAAAGTGTACCCTAGTAAATATAAATAGGCCAAGTTGAGAGTAAGAAATCAGTTTATTTCATCCCCTGAAGATGGTTGGTGAAATTATTGTTTACTTTCATATGATTCACTCTTTTGAATCAATGAGAAATATCACATAAATTTTCATCCGAAATAATTGACGTCTATCTGGAACTAGAAATGAAAGTGTACCTTAGTAAATATAAATAGGCCAAGTTGAGAGTAAGAAATCAGTTTATTTCATCCCCTGAAGATGGTTGGTGAAATACTTGTCGAAAATATTGTTGCAGTTCTGGTGTTTGGGAGCAGTGATTGTTTTGGATTCATTCTATGTTAGAGGTTCCGGTACTCTATTCCATTACATTCCTTTTTATCAATCTCTTTTAATTTATAAGTATTCCAACATTTAGAAATTGATTTGATCATTATTTAAAAATATTCGAATGTAGAAATAATGACTGAATTGTAGTTTTTTCAAATTCTCGAGGTTTCACAAAACAATAATTGCATCAGTATTTTGAAACGACTTATTTTCAAGAGTGTATAAAATACATTGATATTACATAAAGTGGAGGCAAATGAAAAATATATTTGTATTTATGTGGAGGTATATTGAATTGTTGAAATGAAGATACTAGTTAACTGATTTGGATTCATTTACATGAAATCCGAACAACTTGAGAATAATTTTTTCACAACTAAACACTATTCTATACTGCCAATAAAAGACAAATTCAAAATGTAACATATACTTCAATGTTATTTAAAAAGGTGAAAAAAACAAATTTCCCAATAAACGATTCTTGTTCTCATAGTTAACGGATTTGGGTTTACTTACATAAAATCTTGAGAATAACTTTTTTCTACGGATGCTATACAATGTGCTACTTCTCTCATCGCTTTCATAGGTTCAAAACGAAAGATTTCTCATGCAGTGAGATCTATCCGCCATTACAGTGTGAAATAATTTCTCACTATTATCACGATAACCCTAGTCAGTCATGAATTGTCACATGTCAGATTGATATGACACGTTCTCCATATTGACATCGCTACGCCGACGATTTGCGTGCAATATCCAAGTAGCCCATTGTCGGCGTTTCCATAACAACAAAACCGAAGCACTGCATAATTATTGCTGTCAACTTACCCAACAAAAATAGTTTTATTGTTGATTGTTATAGTATAAACATTTCAGATTTATTAAATATTGAATATAATGGAATACAAAGATTCAGAGTTGGAAAATACACCTCCAGAAATTGTTCAGAAAACAATAGATGTTTGCAATAATTTGCTACCAAGCACATCAAGAGAAACATATGAAATCGCTTACAGAAACTTTATGGACTGGAAAATGAAAGCCAAGGTGAATTCTTGTTCTGAACATACCTTGTTAGTTTATTTTGAAGAGTTGTTAAGAAGTTTGAAACCATCAATATTAACTTATGGTTATGGTCTCAGTACTCGATGCTGAGGAGTACTTTAATTATTAAAAACTGTGTTGATATATCAAAATACGTAAAACTACGTGCATTTTCAAAACATGTATGCTCCAAAACAGTCAAAAACAATAAATTCTGAAGAAATTCAACAATTTATGAAAAGTACACCTGATGAAAAGTATTTTCTGATAAAGGTATGAGTTGAAAATTTTTAAATTGATATCGAAAAATGAATGTTTCGTTTTGATTTCAGGCTGCTTTAGCTATTGGCCTTACAGGGACATGCCGTTGTGATGAATTTCGAAAATAAAAAATTGATGACATGGAATATCTTCATTCGGCCCTTTTAATAAAATCACTCAATACTAAAACCAAGGTTCCTAGAAACCTCACAGTCACAAGAGAATTCTAACAAATTTATAAAAAATATGTGAAGCTTCGACCATGCACAAATGAAACATGTTTTTTTTTAATTACAAAATAGCAAATGTATGAAACAGCCTGTGAGGATAAATAACTTTGGCACCATGGCGAAAGAAATAGCGAAATTTTTGCAATTACCGAACCTTAATTATATACTGGCCACTGTTTCCGAAGGCAATCTGCGACTATTTTAGTTAATGCAGGGGCAGATCTTTTAACTTTGAAACGCCATGGGGGTTGGAAATTCAGAAATGTTGCTGAATCTTATATCGACAACTCCATAGCTAACAAAATGAAAATTTCAAAAAGTATAGTAGAATCCATTCAGCTTTCAGCGCCATTAGAACCTGAACACAACGATGCTGTGGAAGCTCAGTACGTTTCCCCATCAACTTCAACTTCGACCGCAGCTAATATTTCAATTAGCGTATTTTAATTTTATATATTCATTTTAATTTTCAATACATGAAAACAACGCAACCGTAGAAAAAGTACAGTGTATAATACGTGAGAAAACGACATATTTCTCACTCGCTTGATTTGCGGCACTCGCCCTCGGCTCGTTCCAACAAACTTCTGCGCTCGTGAGAAATGTGTCGTTTTTCTCACTTGTTTCATAATATACTATTCCACAACTGAACACTATTCTTTACTGCCAACAAGAGACAAATTCAAAATGATGTTTACATATCGAAGTGACATATACTTCAATATTATTTGAAAAGGTGAAAAAATCAAATTTCACAACAAATTATTCTTCTTCTCATAGTTGTAAATATTTTTGTATTAGTATTAACATTTGAAAAAAAATCAATGCCTCACTTTGGGAAGTGCAGATGATGGTAACAGGCAAAAATGATTTCTTGCTCGACTGGAAAAGCCAATTTTTTGAGTGTAGCTTTGACATCATTTCTGACATGCTACTCTCAAGCCACGTTAGTATATGGAAACATAGCTTAATTTGTTTTAGGAAAAACAGTAATCAAGAAAAGAAAATTGAAATTTTATGTTTTTTATCACTTTTATTTTTAACTAACGTTACTACAGTTTCGTCCTATAAGTTTACCGGTGGGTAAACTAAATCGATTTGATGATTTAACAGGTTGCACCCGCAATGTTTATACTCACCGGTTTTCAAATAAGCATATCCTCATTGTAACTAGTAAACAAAATACAGGTACTCAATCAAGCCAAGTACCTCTATTCTCACCTACAGGGGTGCTATGTAAGGGCTAATGTAATCAACAATTGTTAGTATAATGTATAAGTTTGAAAATAGGACATTTTCGTCGTTAGTTACAAATAAAAGTGGTAAAAAACATAGGAAGTTTCAATTCTCTTTTCTTCATTATGATCTCCTACCACGTAGTAACGGCTACATCCATCAATTTATTAAAACAGTAATCATTTCCATTACCGTATTGAGCCATTGAAATATCAATGAGAATTGGTTGAAATTCAATTTAATGTGATTTTTTTCACCACTACACTTACTCGAACACTGAAAGATAACCATGCTCTCACTTGAGGAAACTCTTCTTTCAATAAATTCATCAACATTTCCGCCTCAACTTTGCACGGAATCGTCTCAATGGCAAGAAGATCACAGCCTCCTTCGATGAGTGCTTTCATTCTGGGTATATGCCATTTTCTCATGGTATCACATGTCGTATATTTGGCGTAGGTGCCAGTATATTCTGAACCATCATGGAGAGATGCGCCGTATGGACCGACAGAGCCTGCTATGATTGGTTTACCTGAAAGAATATTAGTTCACCTAATAACAATATAATTCATCCTTATTCATATGCTATTCATTACGCTATTCGAATATACCAATATTCCTACTAATAGTATTTAAAAAAAAAATATATAATATTAAACAGTTAATGAGGTATCACTGTACCTGCCTTTTTTTAAATTTAAGTCTCTTTTTTTTATCTACTATAGAATAATGAACCTTCTTGGCTTCGCACAGGTAGCAACCTCGCTCAGACTTTTATGGATAGCATCGTCATATTTCAAGCAATTCACACAAAACACTAATGAGAATAGGGAATAAAAGAAAATAATATAGGATTTCCGTGAGTTAGTTTTGATTTAACTGACTCCATTGAAGTAAGAGAGAGTTCGCATTTTTATATCAAACAAGTTTATTGTGTTTTGAATTTGAAGAAAATCTATAGGTACTCCCAATTTGAAGTTTATTTTTACGGAAAAGTAGTCAAACCTACCGTTCCTGAACGGTCACAATACGTTTTGATATCTTGGTGTTTCGTATTATTTATTGCATCCTGTTTTAATGAAGTTGAAACCCTGTAGTTGACCCAATAGATTCCAATATAATATTCTGAAGTAAGGTCAGGCAATAGCACATAGTCATTTTCATTCATGAAGGCTTTCTTTTCGTCAGAGAAAAAACTCCTTTTGTTTTGATTCATACGATAACACAATGCTATACATACATACATACATACGCATACAAGGGGCAAAACCTTGTTTAATATTATCTTCTTTGAATAAATTGATGGATGTAGTCGTTATTGTGCGGTAGATCATTATATAAAATGAGAAAATAAATGGTATTCATTCCTTTTTACTTATAATTTGCTTTCATTTTTCGATTTTTTTTACAGTTTTTTGAATACGGATTATTTTGAGTGATAATTTTTCTCAGTTTCCAAGAGGAAATGGTAATTGAAATGAATAAAGTGACAACTCAGCTGATTGAATGAGAAATTAAAAGAAAACAACGTAAGCCCACCGTTTGGTAACGATAATCTAGGCCAGTGGAGACCAGTTTTTTTACAGAAAGAGAATGGGAATTTCTCTTTCTATAGTTCTAAAACTGCTATTTTTGAACTGAGTGGGTGGACTAATTCGGGTACAGCCTTGTACTTTGTAGTATTGGAGCGATTATATAAAGGGCCTGACTAGTCAAAGGCTCTTAAATTGTTACATCTAACTGATTAGTCAGATATCATCGACAATTGTGGAACTAGTCAAATGTTACACCCACGCTCAATCCTTAAAGAGATGGGATGAAATCAAAGGATGTAATCTTGCCAGGATCACCTTGGGCGACCCTGGAAAGCTGGCGCCGAAGAAATATCTAGCGATGACCAGGAAAAATCTACGCCTTACAGTAGGATTTCTGACTGGCCACTGTCAACTAAGGAAACACCTCCATAATATGGGGCTAGTGGACACACCTCTATGCAGGATGTGTAAACAGGAAGATGAGACTGTCAGGCATGTCCTGTGCGATTGCCCGGAGTTATTGTCAATAAGAGAGTATGTGTTCGGTGAGTCTTGGCCTACACCTGGCGATATAAAGGAGATGTCTTCCAGCGACCTGTCCACCTTCCTGGAAAGAACAGGATGGAGGATGACCTAGGAGGACAACTCCTCAGGAGGATGTACAATGGGTCACATGTGGCCTAAGTGCGTGGGCTTACACTCACCCTCCCTACTTTACAGATACAGATACAGATTAGTCAGATATCAGTAAAATAGTATAATATACAGAATTCAGTACTTACGTGCTGTTGGATATTCTTCCAAAAACCTCTCAACTGCTGTTTGTGCTAATTGAACAGCTTGTTTTATGAGATTGTAAGCATCACCCTCAGTCATGTTTAAGTGTTTCATGAATAACTGTACGTCAGCTTGATAAGTATTCGTTATTATGACCTCTGCACCAGCTAAAAAATACAAAATATATTACTTAGATTGAATGTTTCAATTCAATGAATAGCAACCGCAATTATTTTTGATTTCTCTAATTGCGGCCTGTTGAGTTACAGTTTAATCCACGGAGAATCGACGACATTCATAATGGTCATGATGATGGTCTCCCGACACCGCCGACGAAAAGCAAACTCTTGAACTGTCGTTTTTTATTCTAATGATAATTTTCATTTTTATATTATCTGATTCAATACCTTTCATTTGTGAAACGTGTTTTTGAATGAAATAAACGCTTAAAAAATTATTTTTTGAAAACTAACCCTTAACTTGTACCAGTCTCAAAAATAGTACTAATTGTGAATATGAGTATTCATAGTGATCTTCTGGAAAACAACATTTTTATTAGGCCGAAAATATGTATTTCTTTTATGAGAAGCCACCTATATTGATTCATTTTCATAGAACTGAAAATAAAACTCGAAATCTTACGAAAAAAAATTCAAAACAATATACTGAGTTGAAATTTATTCAACATTAAATGAAGGATGGAAAATATTTACTTTATTGAACGATTTAATGCAGAAGGCAGAATATAAAAGACAGATTTGTTAATTTTTGATGTTTGTAAATATCAACAATTTCAATTCACTGTCAACTCATAAGGAATTCGATTGATATTTCTAGGTATGTGGCAAAATTGTTCGATACTTGATGAAAATCCGTATTATGGTAACACTTTATTACGATATGTTTACCAAACCGCGATATTTATAATAGTTTATTCAGGCTCGTTCAAAACTGAATCAAATTTTACACACTGCTTCTTATACACAAGGGTATGTATAGATATCATGTATGTAAGAAATAGTGAGTCGTTTGAATTGTGGCGAAGTTGCCTTTTTCGGATACACAGATACTCATTGTCGAATGATACCGAGAAATCAACTCTAGCTTTTTTAGTTGCGGAGAAAAATTTTGAAAAATTCAAAATTCTAATTCTTGCTTGTCCCTTATTTGTAGTATGTGAAAATATTGAGTTCCTATTCTAGGGTTGTGAAGAATTCGTCAGGAGCTTCAAAATGATGTGTCACAAGACCTCCTTTTCTATTTAATTTTTTTCTTCCCAGATGGCGCCCAGTCGCCATCTTGAAAGCTTTTTCTGTCAATTTCACTTCAAAATGAAGTATTCATGCATTAATTTCATTATACCAAATTTCAATTTTTCGAGTTGACTCGTTCAAAAATCAAAAGGGGGGGGACATTGAAGAAATGCACTGTATATCTGACGAACCATTTTCTTCGACAATAAGGATCGTTAAATGAGTTTTCCATTCTGTTGATAATTTATATTGAATGACTGATGACTAATTTTACCTATACTCCTCNGTGGTAGGTGCATTTTGAGCATTTCCATCAGTCCTGAGAGTTTCATCGTTCCACCTCGAATATTACGGAAAATACGGGGGAGTTTCCATAAGAAGTGAGACAGATTCGGATTTTTCAGGACTGACATTTTTTCAGGAAAAAAGTGTATTCTCAGTAAGCTGGTAGTCCTGATCACGAATCTGAAGGAATTTTGAACCTATTTTGCCCCTTAAAATATTTTACCGTAAAAATGGGATGTTCCATCGCGAGTGGCGGACAGTGTATATCACTTTGGCCAACCCCATTCAGGTGGTAGGTGCATTTTGAGCATTTCCATCAGTCCTGAGAGTTTCATTGTTCCACCTCGAATATTACGGAAGATACGGGGGTGTTTCCATAAGAAGTGAGACAAATTCGGATTTTTCAGAACTGAAATTTTTTCAGGAAAAAAGTGTATTCATAGTAAGTTGGTAGTCCTGATCACGAATCTGAAGGACATTTGAGCCTATTTTGCCCCCTAATATGTTTTACCGTTTTACCTCGAATATTACGGAAGATACGGGGGTGTTTCCATGAGAGGTGAGACACACAATTGATTATACGGAAAAATCGCACGTGCAGAAATGTGTTCATTACACTGTAAATCATTTTAGTATTTCACAAAGGGATTACACTAACAGTGTACATTCTGGAGACAAAATGTATACAAACAGCTGTTTAGAAATGGATCAATCTTGATATGGATATGATATGGAAAGTGGCAAAATTGCATTATATCGAATGTTCAAAAACTCAATCGAAAACATCGATATATTTTACACTTCAAACCAAAGAGAAAATGCAAGTTATAGTTGAGATTTTCAGTTGAGATCAACTATTTGTGCAATTTTTTCATAGGTAAAATCATAATATACGACAAGTTAATGAAAAATACCGATTTTTCCTTTGCGAAAATAAAATTGAATTAACGCAGCAATTTATCATAATGAACCAGAAAAGATATTCAAGCAAAATTCTAAAAACACGTTAAATTTGTTTGTAACTATAAACCGTTGCTGAACCTTCAACTCTCTGAGTGTCTCCACCCATTTTTGTTGAGTAGAAATGGGGGGTTTGTTGCCATTTCAAAGCTCCATTCTTTCAAACCAGCGGACCTATTTTCAAAATCAAAGCAGCAATAAATAGGAAATCGATAGCTCATTTGTAATAAGGTATCACACCCTCATTTTTATTTTAAGATTTGAAGAAAAGTTGAAGGTTTTGCAAAGGTTTATGAATCAAAACTGTGGCTTCTACAAATAAACTTCATGTTGTTTTAAATGTATGTGAAGTTCATTTCCTGTCAGTTATGTTCTGCGGTTCATTTTCTATGGCTCAACCTCATGTATCCTTCAGAATGTTCAAAATGAGACTATGGTGATTGAGAGTGTCTTATGATTCTGATGATAAGTTCAGTGAACAAATTTTATACGAGTATCAATCGAAAGTATGAAAGCTATAGAATAATTTTCCCCATGTAACCATTGAGTTGGCAAGTATAAACAGGCAAGTAGATACTAGCAATAACTGAATGACGGTTGGCAAGCTTCAAAAAGTGAAAATTTGATTTTAGGAAAGATGAACGAGAAAGTTCCGAGCGAACTGTCCTGCAGCATTGCAGCTGCGTTCATCCCTCGGATGAAACTGAGTGTGCATGCTATTAGATTGTGTAATTTGAAAATATATTATCTAGACTAGTGAACATCGAACTGAGCGAATATTTGTCACAAGATTATTTCATGAAATATGATGCTTTTTTCAAGTTTATTTTCTTTGTCTAATCGAAATTATATTACTGTAAATTGAAGATCAGAAATGTACAATCACATTATGTACTTTTTGTATCAGTAATCTTGTTTGGAAAAATGCGCCAACAAATATTTTGAAAATACTGAGGAAGCGTGACCCCTTCTGAATTTGACGATTAGTTGATGATTCTCTCATAAAAATAACAAGCACTAGAAAAATACCAATACAGAATTGGTGATGAAGAAGGAAACAGTGAAAAAATACTCAATAATTTCATATGAAAGACCATGAAACCCTTCTTGTGCAGAATTTAATGTCAACATTTCAACGAATTCTATTTGATAACAAAGCAAACTGGACTGGAAATAGTGTCAACTGTTCAAACGAAATGAAATAATGAATTCTTTAGATATCATAAAAAGCCCAGTATGAAATAAAAAAGCCATCAGAATGCGTCAACCATATCGGATTTGCAGTGCAGCATGTTGTAAAAATGCAAAAGCGTATCATGTTGTGTGGAAACAACAAACAGTCTGCTTTTATAATTCGTGAAAAAGTTGAATTCAATTACTCTATAAAGCCAGATAAATGATAATATTGAGAATAAATTCATTTAACCAAAGTCAAAGAGAATAAATAAATACGATATTTGATCAAATTCATTGAAATATAGTCGCCTGGTTTATTGTCAGTCGATTCAAAAGTTAATTACTAAACACAGAAAATACTAAAATACTAGGTAGATTGACTACTAGAACAAACATAGATTTTGATTTCACATAGATAAAGATAGACAGAGATAGAGAGACAGAGATAGAGAAAGATTGGTGTGACAGAGGAAAAAAAACAGAGAACTAAAGACAGGATCAGGCAGAGTGAGCGGGATGTAGGAATGACTAGACGGATGTGCTACATATTCTATAAGGCAATCGAAAATGATATTGTGATCCTGGCGCGGAAGGCCGCTCATCTAGTCCTGAGGCTTGGAAATTTTGGTGACTACTTTTCGAAGTTTGGCTAAGACTCGAAGAACCATGCTAATGTGGATGGGGTGAGCCTGAAACGGCTGATCCTGTAATAGATAGATATCTGGATGGGGGAAGAGTGGGCTGGAGAGAATGGAAGATCAAATGGAAAGATAAAATCAAGTGGAAAACGAATGGGTTCCTTGGTTATAGAATAGGTAGGGCAAGTGGTGAAATGTTACAACTAAATAAATGAAATATGAAAAATGTAGTACATATCAATATGAATGATGACAGATACTGAATGACGAAAAACATGGAAAGATATAATTTTTGTGACATATTATTATTATTATTGAAATTTGTCTGTAAATGATTATTAAGATTGATTACACAGGTCTGCAATGAAAAAAATGTAGGATATTCAACTAGTAATTTTAACAGTATTTTGTGTGTAGATTACTGAAAAAATAGTAAAAAAAAATTATCACCCATAGATAATTATGATGCACTGTTTGGAAACGTTGCTGTAGTGATGAATATAACTGGAGTTTTTTCCCGAAACCAAATCGTTATTTTTAAAACCTCGATACGTGTTGAGGTGTTGGTGTTGGGAAAAAACTCCAGTAATATTTACCTATAGATAAGTCACGAATTTCTCCTGAAATTTTCTTATAAATGGGTTTTTAGGTTCGATATGGGTTCGATGAAGAAGCAACAAAGGAATATTTCTGATTTTGTTCAGTAGGTGTATTTTGCATACTTTGGTAATAAATTAGGTTACAAAGATAAATCTTGGGCTCCCCATATAGTGTGTTCTGTGTGTGTTGAAGAACTTAGACAATAGTTTCAAGGTAAGAAAAAATCATTTCGTTTTGGAGTACTTACCCATGGTTTGGAGAGAGCCTTGAAATCACAGTGATGACTGTTATTTTTGTTTTTGTTCAGTGCAAGATTTCAATTTAAAAAACAGAAAGGAAATTTCATAACCCAACAACATGGGTTCAGCTGTTCGCCCTGTTCCTCGTCGACCTAACTTGCCTATTCCTTCACCTCCGGATACCTTGGACAACATTTTAGACGATTTAGACACAAAAACACATATTAGCAGTAGCGAGAGTTATGACAGCTACGATCCAGGTACCAATGACCCCGAACTTTTCTCTCAATCAGACTTGAACGATTAAGTATGTTAGCCTCCGGTCTTTCATTTTCACGGAACCGATTTAGAGAAAGGGAATTTGTCCCTTTATTTACACAAGAGGGTGACCTAGTTTTCTGCAACAATGTACCCGGCGTCATGGAAATGTTCAACATAACGTATGAACCAGAGAAAGGGAGACTTTTCATCGACTCATCAAAAAGAAGTATGAAAGCTGTACTTCTTCACAATGGGAAACAATATGCTTCTGTGCCTGTTGAAGACCCAGTCCATTTGAAAGAATGGTAGAAAAATCTTGAATTTGTTCTCAATAAGCTCAGCTACTCTGATCACAAATGGACCATTTGTGGAGACTTGAAAGTTATATCAACGTTACTAGGTCAACAAAGTGGTTACACTAAGTTTCCATGTTTCCTATGTGAATGGGATAGCCGTGACAGGAAACAACATCAAGCAGGTGTGGCCAATAAGGAAGGGTCTTATTCCTGGAGTTGAAAATGTTGAAAAACAAAGTTTAGTGGATCCTAAAAAAATCTCATTTCCACCACTCCATATCAAATTGGGGCTAATGGAACAGTTTGTGAAAGCATTAGACAAAGAAGGAGATTGTTTCAAGTTTCCTGGTCTATCCGATGCTAAACTGAAAGAATGAGTCTTCGTTGGGCCTGACATAAGAAAACTTTTGAAAGATGAGAGCTTTGTTACTAAAATGGAAATGGAAAAAAAATGCCTGGAATTCATCTGAATTTGTTATAACAGGCTTTCTTGGAAACAAAAAAAACCCAAACTACAAAACTTTGGTTGCTGAATTGATACAAAACTACAAAATGTTGGGCTGCAATATGAGTGTCAAAGTCCATTTCCTCCACTCACATCTGGACTACTTTTCCGAAAATCTAGGAGTTGTAAGTGAGGAACAAGGAGAACGGTTCCATTAAGACGTAAAAGAAATGGAACGCAGATACCAATGTATTCATTTGTTTTTTAATTTTTCTTCACATATGTTCATATATTTTGTATATGAATATGTGAGATTGTATTTATGAAGATGTACTTTTTGTTATGACTTGTTATGGCATACGTTGCACTTTTTAAGGTTATCATCAGTTTATTCAGAAGTTTGTTCATTATTTCTTATGTATATATATAAAATGTCTTGAATAAACTTATATTATTATTATTGTCAATTTCGGTGACTCTGAGGCAATATTTAGTGACTCAGATATTATAGAAACCACTTGAACCATACACTGCCACAGTTTATTGAAAAAATATTTTTATTTGATATACTGCGATTTTTTCAAATTTGCTCCACTCTAAATTTGAAAAATAATGAATTCACTTGAGAATACATTATTCGTTCGTAAATTGAACCTGTGATAACTTTTACGAATCATTCAAAACTGACCTTTTAAATTTCTGATAACATTTTGTTACCGGTATTTTTTGATGTAATTTTTTATGACGTATTGACGAATATAAAATATACAGAATGTTCCAAATTAAGAAAATCTGCAAACTAGGAAAAATATTACTATTTTCAAACTTTTGGCCTATACTGCATCGCCAATTGAAAAAAAAGTCATAGAAAACGCACATTAGTTTTCAAAAAAAACTGACTACTGAGACGTTTCGAGAATACATGGTATCGAGTTAGGCAAAGAAAACTTTTCTATACCAATTATTCAGATGCTTCCAATCTCCTAGTCGTTAACTAGAAATACAGATTCACTCAACATCTCAATTAAAGAATCACAACTGAAATATCGAAGGTTCAACCCCTACCATTAGTCTCCTGGAAAATTCAGGATCGACTCTTGAATTAAGTTCTGAGTGATTAAGTTGCGGTATTAAACTTTGCCAATTATTTTCCGATTAAAATGAGCTTGTCGAATTTTCTACACAATTTAAATTTTCCTGTCAACTTACTTTGGTTAACTTTCGGATATACGGGCCCCGTCAATTAGATTTCAACTTTGTAATTTCAATTACATTAATTTTTATCCTAATCTTAATGATTTCACATTAAGGCTGATAGCTTACTCCAAAAATATGTTTGGCGAAACATTTGAAATTGTGAAAGTATTGAACATTCAGGAATAAAAAAGAAACAATATGCAGTCCAATCACAAAAGGTAGAGTCCCTTTTGATACAACTCATGAAAAAATATTCTTTCCACGGAGATAAATACATTTTTAATTTAGGATTGAAGGAGATTCCTCTGCAGATTATTTTGAAATATAGTAATTCCACCAGTGTTTGAAACTCTTTCGTAACTTTCAATTCACTCAAACAATTTTTTATCCCTCTGGTAGAGCTCCAACTTATATGAACATATCCTAGTCGGAAATTAACCAATACAAAAAATATTTTCCGAAAACGGTCGTGGAAAGTAGATCTTATGAAGTCGATTCGTACAAAAAATGTTGATGTAAACTTTCAAAACGGATTTAATATGTTTACTAGAAAATATAAATGAATCATGAAGTATTCTACAGTTGAAGAAAAGTTATTAGACATTTTTATTGTTGGAAAATTATGGTCAGTCCACACCACAGCTGTTTTTGGAAAACTCTCTATTAACGAAAATTATTGACGATAATGTCAAACTATTCAAAAATTCTGGAGCCACACCGGTCACTATTTTAACCTAGACACTGACCTCTAAGGAAATCTAGATGACTATCGATGATGGCTTCTTGATCGGTGGCTAGAAATCTGGCGCTCCACAAAACATCACCGTCTATCGGTTGTTGTACGTGGCAACTTAATTGTGTAGCAAAACCGCCATCCAGTATGACGATATCCTTGTTACGTCCAGGAGTGTTCTTTTCTTTGACTGCTGCCTCGGAACGATTTTCCACTGAACTACCAATACCCGGGGGTGCCATTGTTTTACTTCAATTGTTCTGAAAAAAATAAAAATGTTTCAGACCGTTTTTGTTTGCTGCAAAAAAATAATGTGTTGTATGATCTAACGAATTGCCATTTTTTCAGGTTCAGAGAGAAATGGTATTTATTAACCTAGAACAAAGTTAATAACAACAGGCATCTAGATGCCTATGAGAGTTTTGAAATGAATAAACATAATAATATTATAAATAACGATGGTGGACCAATACCTTGTAATATTGATTGAAGATTAGTAGTAATGGTGAAATTAATTTTATAAACCTTGTTGAAATAATATTTTAATTATTAGATTTACCTGACTATTATATGAGGACATATTGTAAAATTAGTTAAAGACTAAGACAGGTACTTGAAAGAGGTATCTATGGTATAAATGAGGATTACTTTGTGAGTATGTTCAGTTTGATCTTTCTCTTGAAGATGATCACTTGGTGTTCGAAACAGGAGTCGAGGTGTTGAAATAACGGTCTGGTTTGGTAACTACACCGAAGGTTCCAAACAGTGCATCAAAAGTATAAAATTTGAAAAAAAGTTTGAAAATCATCAGTCATACAAGGTGTTCAATTTGAAATGAAAAATATGTTGCCAACACTTGGTGTAACTGAAAGTGGAAGTGAGAAAAAAATATTCCAAAGATCGTTATCAATCCCCTCTTGTCCTGAATTTTCAGATTTCAAATCGCTATATTTTTTGAATAGGTATTACTGGTTTTTGTCAAGATTAACCATTACCATATCAGGGAACTAGATCAACCCAATAGCGACAATTGCGGTGATTAACTGTGCCATTCATAAAAAAAGAACATTCACCACTGAAGCAAATGTTGAAAACAAAATGTGGATTTTTCACTGCTCGTTCACTAACCAACTCGCAAAATTGCAAGCGTCGTTCGAAATCATCTTCATTCAGTTCTTGCGTTAATTTAATCTTGTAAGGATGCATTTTGTTGATTTTTAAAATATGCCGAATGCTAGTTCGTGACACCCCGGAATATGGTCAAGCTCAACATGGTCTAGAATTGCCACTTGTGTCACTTCATTTGTTACTGGTGTTTCGATTTGCCGTTTTTATTTGCTACAGATCCTGTTACGCGAAATTTTGCAATTAAATCGAAAACATACTGTCGCGACTAATTCTTACCATGTTGTTGATTAAACAGTTCAGCGGCTCTCGCAGAACAACGTCTTTTTCCATAGTACAGTATCAACTCAACCCTCTCTGCAGTTGTGTAAACCATTGTTTCTTCAGCAACACTTTACGGCGCTCACTACTAGTAATAATGTAGATATCAATTTTAACGTAAGAATGAGAAATAGAAACAGCATTTTCAACCATTTCTCACCCCTCTGCTCTGGGGTTGAAGTGACGACGCTGTAAATGGGGAAAAAACTGTCCCCCTCCCAATAAAAATCGACTCATATGAGCGTTTTTTGGATTTGCAAGATTAGTACCCAAAATCTCCATGTCAAGTTTTTGATGTATATATTTTGATTATTATTTGAAAATACTTCACACAACTGGTGTTGTGAAAATGTGTGTCTGGAATAATGTCTGAATCTTATGGTAAGATAAAAGTGGAATTTTACACGAGTGCATCTAAAAATCAGATCTCTACAAATCTCAAATGAGTATATGAGTTTTGAAAACCATAGTACTTTGACGGGTTGGCTGTCCTTGCTCATTTTCCACTGCCTGCACTACTGTGCATGCTGTTTTTGGCAAGTGCATTGGCTTGGAATGTGTGGGTTGAGGAAACCGGCCATCGGATGCCTGCTTCCACGTAGCCCCGCTGGATACGGGAAAGACAGAATCACTTGTGGTTCTGTTATTCCCTAACTGAATGGTATCCCAACGATGGCTTACTCCTAAGGTGTGTGTATCTGTGTGTATCTGTTCCGTAGAGACAGCCTGTGCTACGCTGTCTCTACGGAACCTTCGAGATACCAGGCGCCCTCTCGTCGTAGCATCGCCTTGTCACGGTAATACGGGACTCTGCCGTGATTTACCTTCTTTTCCTAGCTACTCGTGGGACTTTTATGGACAGAGTAAACTTGAAAGTTCTTTCTGACGCTGAGTCTACAGAGGAGATGGATGTCGAGTTTACGACTCCAACTGACCTCCCTGTAAATTTAGTTCAAAAGCGAGAGCTTCTCAACTTCTCAACTCCTGATCCAAAAACTGAACCTAAAAAAAAGGTTTGGTGGTGCAGCCAGAAAACGAGTGAGTCGCCTCCTCAAGAGCGGGGTACCTTATAAAACCGCCTTGCACCAAATTCTTGAGCGGTGTACGCAGAATCTCTCTCAGGTGGAGGAACAAACCCCCCCATGAGCAGATTAGCAAACGTTTGCGCTCAAGTGATGATTCACCAAAACCAGAGGCGAAAAAGCCCTGCACAGTTGATTTAAGGCATCGTCAGGTGTAGCTGATGTGCATAAAACCTCATATGGGAAGGTTGTCGCGGGTATCAAGGTGGAAATCTTGCACCTTGACTATCCGACCACCTCATTAACGATGAAACAGAGCATATATTTTGTGCCTGCCCCACTGGGGACTGAATCAGGTTTTAGAGTTTGGCAGAGCCAAACCTAAAACCCGAAAGACCACTCACCATACAAACTAATCGGCTTCGTTAAAAAGCTGGGTTTATTTGGTCGAGTGTGAATATGTATGAGCCACAATAAACCTTTGCAGGTTGCGGAGGAGGGTCGAATAGACCCACTCACTTCGGACCTAACCCAACCTAACTTGACAAACTCAAATTAGGTGTACAGTCACGAGTGATTAATAAAATTGAAACAATAAAAACCTTGGAATTCTTCAACTGTAAAAAGGACCACTTAAAATTAAACCGAAATGAATATTCCAGTGGCGCTGATAAAATATTATGGGAGAATGAAAAAAATCATAACAAATAAAGATTTGTACAGCCTCTTAGAAAGAGTTAATAATAATCTCTCAAAAAACATAGACAGCGGGAACCGTGAACTGAAATCATTCATAAAAATAATAGATGAAAGATGTGAAATACTCAATGAAAGAATTGAAGTTCTAGAGAATGAAAATAATCAATTGAGAACCGAGCAGAAAAGTATTGAAAGGAAATTGCGATGCTACAATTTGTTTTTTTTACGATATAGAAAAGAACTCCGGTGGAAACGAAGACCTTGTAAATGTAATTGGAAAAACAATCAAAGATATTCTTAAAATCAAAATCCAAACTTTTGATATAACTAACGCTATTAGACTGTGGAAATCACGAAGTAAATCAGGGTTAATTTGGATGACGTTCCATTCACAACTGACCAGAAACTGCTCGAAACTTAAAATATCGGAATATTCATAAGTGTAGAAACCTATTCTAGATGAAATTAACCAAAAGAACAATCTCGACTTACCCACACTGTAGGTTAATAGACTGACACCTATCAGAAAACAATTAGTCCCCTGGCTAATACCACGAAGCGCGTTGTATTATATCCAACAGGTGTCAGTGCAGAAATCTTCACAGAAGTATATCCCGCATATGCTATTGGCGATAAAACTGCTGAAATCGATTTTCAGTTATAGAAACGGGCAAACTTGCAGACCGATTTCGGGCTATTTGGCCTTTCGAGGAAGTGGCCATCATCAACCTCAAGTTGATGATATTCCACAATTCCTTTCAGAGTATCATTTCAGATAATTTCGTGAAGATTTCTGCACTGACACCTGTTGAATATAATCCAACGCCCTTCGTGGTATTAGCCAGGGAAATGATTGTTTTCTGATAGGTATCAGTCCATTAACCTACAGTGTAGATAAGTCGAGACTGGCATGAACAAATTGTTCTTTTGCTTAATTTGATTCACAGCCAGTCTTCAAGTATGCCCACTGAATATATGTGAATGTTTCTTTCCTTGTACGAAGAATTAGTCGAATTGGATATGCGGTTGGTTAGTACCTGGTTTACCAGGTAGCCACTACCTTGCACTGACGAGAGGCGAAATAGCCCGAAACCGGTCTGCAACTGTGCCCGTTCCTATAATTGAACACCGATTTCAGCAGTTGTATCGCCAACAGCAGATGCAGGAAATAACTTCTGTGAAGATTCACGCACTGAAACCTGTTGGATATAATCTAAAGCCGTTCGTGGTATTAGCCAGGGGAATAGTTGTTTTCTGGTAGGTGTCAGTCCAATAACCTACAGTGTAGGAACGTCCAGACTGCCCACTGAATATATTGTAGGTGTTCTAGAATATGCTGCTGAAGATCTCACTTGTCAAGGGGAACGTGATCTATTTTCTTCACCACCTGCAAGAAAGTCATATAGTGCTCCTTCCACACCTATTCCTGGAGAGAGAGTAGAAGATGATTGAAACGACAATTCTAATACTAATCCGCTAATTACAATTAACCAAGAAAAAAAATCAGGAAGACTGAAGAGAAACTGCAAAAAAATCGTAGCTACGAAACGCGTTACATATCTACATCGAGTGATATACCCGAAAAGTATATGCGACCAGACAAAAGTGTTAAAAAATATCGATTTTCAATTTACCCATATATTTCAAATTTGACTGAAATATTATATGTTGAATTTTATATCTTTAATCTTATTACATTCTAAACTACCCGTATTGTATCTATATTATCGGCATAACGTCTTCAAAATTGGGAATATCTTAAAAATGGATCAGTATATATAAGATATATTAATTATGTACCTATTGAAACTCACAAAATGAAAAATATAATGGATTTCAACTTATTCCTTCATAAGAATGAAGTTAATAAAAACTTCACCTTATTTCACCAAAATATAAGGAGTAATGATGAAAATTTTGAAGAGTTAACGATCTTGGACCTCAAACATCATCTCGACATAAACCGAAAGTTGAAAGGGGATTCACACATCATTACAGGATATATTGACTTGAATATATGGAAAAAGAAAAGATATATTATTCTAGGATACTTAGATGTTCTGGTAGAATTTGATTTCATTTCAGTTATTAAT